ATGAGAGCAACATTCCATTCCTTAAGACATTTAATACCAGGCTCCCTCATGTTTTGGTCTGCATATCTCATTCCAAGCTACTTTTGCCCCAGAAGTTGTCAGCTCAACCCCTTTCCATAGAAAAGCTCTCAGTATCTACTCAACCTTATCCAAAACTTGCACTGGTAAGCTAAGATGAGATGACCAGAAAATGTGGATACTACCGAGCACAAATGTTATCAGCTGCATCCTCCTTACATAGGAAAGAAACCTGTTTGTCTAGCTCTTGACTCTGCTTTCAATTCTTTCGATAAGAGGGAGACAATGAATAGTCCTCAGTCTGGTGGAGATCAAAGGAATCCCCAAGTACCTGATGGGCAGGTTGCCTTTAGGGAAGCCAAATAAATCAATAATTTGCTCCGTGTCTTGAGGATCAACTACTACCATGAATAAAGAACTCTTCTTGGGATTAGCTTGTAATCCTGATAGCCATTGAAATTGGTTTAAAGCCTCCGTTAATGTCATAGCAGATTGAATATCCCCATGACAGAATATCAGTAACTCATCAGCAAATGTGAGTTGACATAACTTCAGCTTTTTGCACCTCTAATGGAACTTAAACTAAGCGTTGGAGCTGATTCTTTGATTTGTTGACAATGAGAGGACCTCCATAGCCGAAACAAATAGGTAGGGGGACAAAGGATCCCCCTGCCTTAGCCCCCTTGCACTGGGAAAAAATCATTCAAGTTCTCCATTAATGTTCACTGAGAACTTAGGAAAAGCAATACAAGACAATATCGAGCTCCTCATTCTAGCAGGAAAATTGAAAGCTTCTAATGTGTCAATTATGACCTGCCAATCAATGGTATCAAAAGCTTTATCAACCTTTACAGTACATCTAGGTGAACCCCTCTCCTTGTGATAATCCCTCATAATCTCTTGTGCCAAGAGAATGTTATCATTGATCCTCCTCCCTGGTATAAAGGCTGACTGGCTAGGATTGATAATGCCATTCAAATACTTTTTTATTATATTAGCAATGATCTTGGAGATTGCTTTGTAGATCACATTGCAGCACGAAATAGGCCTGAACTCCCCCATAGTTGTGGGATTTTGTACCTTGGGTACCAAGGTGATGATGGTATTGTTGAATTCTCCCAACATGTTCTCAGTGGAAAAAAACTCTCTAATTGCACCTATAACATCCCCTCCTATCACTGGCCAAGCCTTCCTATAGAAGCAAGCATTGAAACCATCAGGTCCAGGTGCTTTTTGGTCATTGAAAGATAAAAACACCTCCCTTATCTCATCAGCAGAAACCTCTCTTATCATGTCTTCCAACTGCTGTTCATTAAGTTTTTGATGCACCATGGAGAAAAGAATTCTTTTCCTTGCTTGTCCACTAGCAGTAGGGCTTTTACTTCCAAGCAGTTGCTGATAGAACTCCACAATTTCCCTCTTCACTGCTATGTCTCCTTCGATTGTGACCCCATCTTCTGTTTGGAGAGACAGGATTTTCTTTCTGTTCCTCCTCTTAGTCATAGTCTTGAAAAAGTATGTTGTATTTTTGTCTCCCTCCTTCAACCACAATACTCTTGATTTCTGTTTGAAAAAGGATTCTTCATTTCTACCCGCATTGGAGTAGCTAGCTAAAAGTTGTCTTTCTTGGACTCTGAGGCTATAATCCATTGGATTGAGAGCTAATCTGCTTTGGCACCTTTCCAAAGCCTCTTTAGCTTCCTTTGCAATTGCAGAGACTTCTCCCACCTCTTTACTTCTAGATTTGAAAATGGCCTTAAGTTTCTTGAGTTTGCAGCTAACCTGGAACTGTTGTGTTCCTTGAATGGGCTCCCTCCAAATCCCTTCCACAGTAGTTAAAAAGTCCTCCCTTTCCGCCATAAAGTCAAAGAACTTAAAGGGGCTCCTTCTTTTCCTTTTTTCTTGTCCAATTTTGAGAATGGAATGGTCAGAAGTACCTGCAAGTAGAAAAACTGCTTCTGATTGTTGAAAATTAATGTTCCACGCTTCATTAACGAGCACCCTGTCAAGCTTCCTGACAATACACCCTTCCACAATTCTGTTATTACACCATGTAAAAAAGCAGCCAGAAAATCTTATATCCTCTAACTCTGCTTATTGTAGACATTCATCAAAGTCTTCATTTGATTGACTCCACCTGCCTGAACAACCCATTGATTCTTGAGTGTTCCTAATGGCATTGAAATCCCCTAGGACAGTCCATGGGTTGGAAGAGAACATCCTAGCATGACCGATAATGTTTCTCCATAATAGCCTTCTCTCTTGCTCATCATTTGACCCATGTACAAAAGATGCATAGAAATCCTCACTTGTCTCTTGATTATGTACAGAGCAATGAATGATTTGCTCTATTTCAGCAATCTTGTTCACCCTAAGGATGCTTGGATTCCACCCAATCCATATCCTACCTCTTGTATGACTATTATAGTTGTCCATGAACTCCCAGTGTCTAAACACAGCTTTCATAGCAACTTCTTTATTAATTCCCCTGATTTTGGTCTCCACAAGACCAATCATATCCAACTGTTGTTCATTAATCAATTTCATGACTTCCTCTTGTCTCCAGGTTTTTTTCAGCCCTCTTACATTCCATCAAGCCAACTTTAACATGAGAAGAGATTTTTTTTGGAGTTTAGGTGCTCCATCACCCTTTCTTTCCCTTGCTTAGAGGTTTTCTTTTTAACTTTCTTTTTCTTCACCACTCCTAGATGTACTTCAACTTCTGGTTCAGGTCCATTGGCTTTGAGGTCTTTCCCACCATTATCAAGTTTTCTAGCTGATGATAAATCAACTATGATTTCTCCCCCTTCCAAATTTAGACTTTCAAATCTGTTTGGGGATTGAACAAGTTGTTCTGGCTATTTAACCCTTTTACTAACATTATTATTATTGTCATATATAGCGGTGATGATAGAATCACTTACATGATCTTCTCCAACTGCTCTCTGCTCAATTGAATGTTTTTCATTTCCTGGATTGGGAAGAGTGCTAGTACTGGCCATCTCTTTACGCCGTTGACTTGTTGGGTAATCCACAGCTTCCCCAATAAGCATTGCACCTTCCTCAATTGCCCCATTCTACATTACAGGTTCCACCACTGTCATGGGGTGTAATATTGCCTTCCCTTTGTCGTTGTTGCTTGATGGTTTCCCTAGTGTCTTAGAGGCCTCCTTTACTGGATGGTGGCTCATTTCATTTTTTGTGCACATTGCTCCATTATGTCCAAATACCTTACAATGGTGACATACCTTAGGCCTCTATTGGTATTCCACCATTATTTCCAGTATCTCAGTCCTTCCATTCACTTCGAATTTCAAATCAAATGCCTCCACCAGTTCCTTTGATGCATCCACTTCAATGCATATTCTAGCAAAGTTGAGCCTTTTCCTGCTAGAAGTTAGTGTATCTGCATACAAAGGGGTGCCCACTACACTAGCAATGTGGATAAATCCACCCTCATTCCAAAATTGCAATGGAATATTGAACAGCTTGACCCAAAGTGGCACGGTTGAATGGTCCTCCTTCGTGATTAACAGGTCTGGTGCCCATTTCTTCAAAATCAGGGGTCTCCCTGAGAATAGCCATGGTCCAGCTTCAAATACCCCGGTTCTAGCCTTGTCATCCATGAACTTGAAAAAGTAAAAACCATTTCCAATGGAAAACACCTCCAGCAGACCCATTCTATCCCACACCTTGTGTGCAATGTAGTTGACAGTTGAGAAGGGTAACTTCTTCTCTATGAAGTATCCTACAAGGCAATTCTGCCATTCAAGGCTACCTTGTATGCTTATCTCCTTTGGTGGCTCCACAACAATTCGATCATCCTTCATATTAGGTTTGTAAAACTTAAGTTTCATCAATTGTTGTTGTTTGTTTGTGGTCTGGTCTCCATCCAGCTGGTTTCCCTTGTTTCCGATTGCAAAATTTGGCTCCAATAACCCTTGGGTAAACCTTTGCTCTGTTGTTGATTACCCCCTGACTTCAGGAGTTGTTGATTTGGCCTCACCTCCTTGGCTGGAATGATGACCCCTGTCTGCCTCCTCTGTTCTCCCAGGGTCACCACCCTTTTTTCTCACCGACTTGCGGTTGCCCAGATCCATTGCAATGGCTTGTAGCCTTGCTTACTTCCAACGTTGGACATATTTCCATGGCATTAACCTCACTATCATTTATGATATCTGAAGTAGCTTCTCCTGTACTGAGGGGGCTCCATTAATGGAGTAGTTGGGTTGTTTATGGATTAGCTTTTTGGGTGGTGGTTAAAGTGTGTAAACATTAGGTGAAGTGAAGTATGTTAGAGATTGGTTGAAAGCCGTTGACAGAGATGAGAAAGAGACAGACGGGAAATGGTGGAAAAGGTGAGGTGAGTGGATGGTGGTTAAAGAACTTATGGGTAAGAAGAAAAGAGACAAAAGGAACACGGTGAGATTATGAATTAAAGAAAGTGAAATGGGTAGGTACTAGATTTGCACAAGTGGAGGTTCGACTGGGTGGGTTTCACGGCGGTTGAGGACGAAGAGCACCCATCGAAGTAAATGAATGGACCATGGTTACAACACCTGTGTGCAATGTAGTTGATAGTAGAAAGGATAACCAGAACCGATTAGCCGAGACGAGGGATGCTTGCGTCGATCGTTAGTCACAACTCACCACATTCGCCGGTCGCCGCTGTTGGTGGAGTTGGAGCCGTAGTAGGTGGCGGAAGGGTGGTGGTGGGTGGATCTAGTGGTGGTTGGGTGGATCTGGTGGTGGATGGTGGGTTGGGTTAGACAGAACGGTGGTTGTTGGTTGGATCATGGTGGCTGGCTGAAGAGACCTGGCTGTCAGTCAGATTTATTAACTATTAAAATATTTAATACATAGAACTATCGTTATATGATCATCACTCACTGACAATTGTGTTGAGATTTTATTTATTATTTGATTGAACAATTTATTTATTTGAATAATAATGACTATTAAGAAAATTTATTATTTGGATAGTTTTTACCATTGAGACACTATTGAACGGATGTGATCATTTGGAAAAAAATATCTCTTTAGAAGGGTCATGTGTTTTAAGAAAAGATACAACTTTAAAAGAGTGATGACTATTAACTAAAATACACTTCTATAGAAGGGTTATTACTTTTAACAAAAATGTACCTATTCAAAGAGTTGTGATTTTGAGAAAAGATAGTAAGAGTCTATAAATAGGGTCTAAGAGTTTATTTACAGATAAACTAGAGTTTAATATAACTCATCTCTCTTCTCCTCTGTCTTTCTCTCTCTCTCTCTCTCTCTCAGAATGAAAATTATTCAAAAATATTTCTTTGAAAATTCTTTAATATTACTAATTACAGTTATTCACCCAAGACTTTATTTTATCCTGGATGTGATATGACAAAAATCCTTTAGCAAACTCTTCGAGTATGGGCAAATATCACTTTAAAAAAAATGATTTTACGTACCTCAAAGCCTTGATTATAATTTATTTTCAATATGCTCGAACACAATTTCCAACAATTTAAAAGTGACATTTGCAATGACTACTAAATCAAGTGCTACGTTCAAAGTCTTGAATCAAGACTCTATTATTGGATCATTTTGATGGAACTAATTTTACTCTCTAGAAGAAAAATATGATGTTTCTTCTCACTGCGCTAAAGATTGCTTATGTATTGGATCCAAAGCTACAATCAAATCCCAAAGAAAAAGCAAAAGACACTAATCACGTTAAGAAAGAATGAAAGAAGCGAAAGGAAGATAAATTTGTCTGTCGAAGCCATATTCTAAACATTGTTGATCGATTGTATGATCTCTATATATGGTCTGTAGTTCCCATAGGAAATAATAAATATTCCAAGTTTAAGATGGCTAATAGCATATCCTCATGGATCAAGTGCATGAATTGCAAGTTCTGGTTAATACACTATGTGACGTTAAAGTCATAGTTCCTAAGCCAATTCAAGTAGGGGCGATTGTTGCCAAACTTCCTCCTACTTAAAATGATTATAGGAAGAAACTTCTACACATGGCAAAAGATTTCGATGCAGAACAAATACAAAAGCATTTGAGAATTGAAGAAGAAAAAAGAAAATGTTATGCTATGTATTGGAGTTCTAAAGTGAACAGTGTGCCTGAAATATAACAAAAATCAAAAATTTCATAAACATCTCAAAGTGCAAAAGGGTTCTGATTTGAAGAAGAATAACAATTCCAACAAGAAGAATGCTTATGTTTTCATTGCGGCAAGAAAGGCTTTAAATCCGTTCTAGAGTCTGATAAGATGACCCTTTAATA